TTTTTGGGTTTTTTTTTTTTTTTTTTTGAGACAGAGTCTCATTATGCAGTCCAGGAGGCATCTTCCTGCCTCAGCCTCCTGAGTGCTGGGATTACAGATGTGCCCACCACAGCCGGTGAGCTTGATGTGTGCTCATTAGACTGCGGGAAGACATAGCACCTGGTGGCTGTCCAGGGCAGGGGCGGGCCAGGCCTGCAAGAAAGCAGGAGGTCAGTCATCAGAGGTGCTAGAAGAGGTGCTGAAGGGACAGCACTGCACCTCCTCCTACCTGCCACTTAGAAACCCACCAACTCTCCCAAATACACCCACTGCCATCCCAACAATGGAGAATCTGGGACACCTGCTGCAGGGCCAGGCTGGGAGAAGTGCCTACAGGGGACATGATTACCCACAATCAGAGTTCCCTGCACCCACCCACCTGGATATTAAGGCAAACCTGTCACCCCTGCTTTCAGTGACATCAGTTCCCCAAAAGATATTCCTTGCACTCACAAAAAAACCACTCAGACTTCCCAGTGATCCCATTTTGCAATAACACATGGGTCTGCTTGGATGGGAACCCAGTCCCAGGGAGGCCCCTGCCCATCGATGTGTTGTGACCGCTACAGTTGCTTCTCTGGAAGCCCAAGGACATCGTGAGCTGTAGCCACCCAAAGACTTGAGGCAAACACTCCAACCAGACTGGGGGATGCAGAGCTCAGGTGATCCCTGCACCACCTGCCACAGATGGAGGGGCTGCCGTTAACTTGGATGTTTAGGTCGGTCTGAAGTGAAGAATAGGAAAGCGGAAGGTTCCGGGGCCTTCCAGTCCCTGGTCACCCTGGTCTGGTGGAGCAGCTGGCCCGGTACATCTTGAGAACCCCGCTTGGCCCAGGGACCTGAAAGGAGCATACCTGGGTGACCACCTGGAGAGAGCGCTGTGCTGCAGTTTGTAAAGGCTGAGGAACCAGGCTGTGTCCGGCATATGGCAGGGACAGCGCTGTGTGTCTGGGCATGAGGTGCCTACTGCACGGCTGCAGGGGAGTGGGCAAGGTGCCACTGTTGGCAGTGAACCAGGGGGACAGTGAGTCCACCACCTCTGCCTTCTGATCAGGAGCTCTGGGGTGGGGCCTGAGCCAAGCCACAGGGGCAGAGGGTGCTGAGATCTCAGCTTGAACAGGAAGGGCAGAGAGCAGCTGTGCCCTGGAGGCTGCCTGGGTTGCTGATGCCCCCAGGAGGGGACAGAGCCCAGGGCCTGTAACACAGGCAAGTGCTCTTCCCCTGAGCTATCCCCAGTCCTGGCTTGGAGACTCTGTGGGAATAGCCGGGGCCCGAAGAGGTGGTGCGGTGATGTGTTGGAGCAGGACATGGGGGCCCCAAATCCTTGAGGGGGTGGCTTACTCCCCACTGTCCCTTTTAGTCACAATAGAGGGAAGAGCTCAGGGCAGGCGGCAGGGAGAGGACAGAGGCCCTGAGTGGTGGCACATGGCCACTTGACCCTTGGGATGCAAAGGGCAGGTTCCCATGACCACCTGAGTCCCAGCACCCGAACCATTCCTGTGGGAAGCTGACAGTCCTAGGGTGGACAAGCAGGGCTGTGGGCAGGAGGGACAGGGACGGGGCAGCCTGCAGGAGTGAGGGCTGAGGGTGCAGGGAGTAGTTTCTCTCCCATCCCCTCCTGCTTTTCTGAGTGTGCCTTAACCCGGGGACAGATGTCAGAGAAAGCTGATTACCGTCAAAGGCTGGAGGCTGTGACCGAGCTCACAGTGAGCTCGACCCAGTTCTGAGCTATTCTTGGCCTGGTGGGAGCCGCTCTTTCCTCCCACCGCCTGCCTCACAGGCAGCCTGACTTTGAGACGCCCTCAAGGCCCCAGGCACAGGGATGCAGTGCAGAGTGGCTAGGCCACGCCAGGACAGGGCAGGGAAAGGCCCATGGCAGCCCAGTTCCTGCCTCTGATGACCCTCTGGACATAGCCTGTCTCCACCCGCCTGGCAGCCACACTGGAGCAGCACCCAGCTCAGAGCTCAGCCGTCTCCACTGCCTGCTTGCCCAGCTACCTTGGGAAGCCACTTCTCTTAAGGTTGAGCCCCAGGGATGGCAAACAGCCCCTCCAACCTTCTCTGACCCCCAGCTCCCCGGTGGAAGTCGGGCTGCAGGTGAGCTGCACCAAGCCAGGAAGCGCAGAGACCTGGGTGGGCCTGGGGGAGCTCAGCATGTGATGCTGGCCAACAGTCCCAGGAGGGAGAGGTGGTGGGAGCCAAGTCCCAAGCCTGGACAAGCTCAAGCCCATTCATGAGCAGGGCAGCAGCAGCTGCACTGGGCTCTGGGCACAGTGGCCCTCATCACAACTAGCTGGGAGGTCAGCTCCAGCCCACACACAACTAGAAGCAGATGGCCTGGATTTTCCAGAGAAGTTGACTGCAAATCCCCTCATAATTCTGGTAGCTATGCAAATGGCCCTAGTGGAGCAAAAAACTACAGGTGTCTCAAGGCACACAGGGAACCTCCCAGACAGAGTGGAAGTGAGCCCCAATTCCAGCCTTGGATTCTGAAGTAGAGAAAAGGCCTCTTGGAGGCAGTAGCTTCCGCTTGTGACAGTAATCACAGTGCCATGACATGATCCCTGCCACATCTCAGGCAGGGTTCAGGGTGGGAGCGGGGTGAATGGCAGTCACATGCTCCCCACAACTCCACTGCCCACAGGGTCAAGAATAAACACCTGGACTCTCTGTGAGCTGCCACAGACAGCAGTGTCCTGCTTATGCTTGGTTCCCAGGAGCCTGCTGGCAGGCTGTGTGCCAAGGTCTGCACTCAGCAGCTGCCTGGTCCGGTCCACACCACCGTAGAAGCCCCTCAGGCTGTGAAGCCTGAGGGTCTGGCACAAGTGCCGCCCTTGCTTGCTTCATTCTAGGGCAAGGCCCTCCCCAGGGAACCACTTGACCGCTTAGGGCAGCCCTGCTGCCTCTGGGCCTGTCTCCACCTGTGCAGGGTGAGGCAGGGCCCAGGCCAGGCTGGGGCTTCCAGGGAGCTGTGGTGAGGCTGCAGCACAAAGGGAGGCCCGTGAGACCTACAGACAGGTGAGGGACAGGATGCACCCCCCCAGAAGCCTGGCATCCCAGAGCCCTGGCTGAGGGGCAGGACAGGTCAGCAGCAAGTGAACAAGGGTCTGAGTGCAGAGCTATGCTCCAGGCCACCCAGGGCACAGGTGTCCCCTGCCTCCCTTACTCACACTGGCAGGAAGTGGGCAGGTACAGCAGTGGGGTAAGGGGGAGCTGCTAAGGAAAAACTGAGCAGTTTTTCCTTTGAGGCATCGGGCTGGACGGGGAGTTTCCAGTGCTGGCCCCATGATGAGCCCGTGCTGCTCATCATGACCAGACAGTGACCCTCAGAACAGGCTGACCGTAACTCATCATTCCCATGTCTATGGTAGTGAAGTTCCCCTTCTGCAGACCGGGGTGCACATGGTCTCTGCTCCTCTGCCATGGGGTCCCCCCATTGGGCAGCCTGTGTAGGTGGTCAGGGTGGGACAAGGAGCAGAGATGGCTGGGTGGAATGCCTTGCGGGCATGGGCAGGTCTGGAAATGACTATAGAAAAGGCACACGTGGCAGGGCCTTGAAGGACACAGGAGCCTGCGGCTGGGGCCAGCGGAGGGCTCCTATGGGTGGAAGCTGTGTGATGCTGGGTGGGCGGGCGTGGGCGGGCTGGAGGTGATGGACACTGTGGCCAGCCCAACAGCACATCTGTTGGCCAGCAGCTGTCCCCCAGGGCATGGTATTCTGGCTCCTAACTACCTCTATCTCACACAGGCCCTGACCTTGTATTCCCTGGGAATGCCTCAGTCAGCACACCTGGACAGTGGGCACAACCAGGGCCCTGCACGCCAAGACTCGCCTGTTCTGCAGTTGTGCAGGACAGGCATCTCTTGTAGGACCCATGTTGGACCTGACCTGTCTCGCAGCCCAGGTCCCAGGAAGAGGGACACGGCCCTGCCCCAGGGCCAGTAGTTCTCTGATTTTCAGCAATGCTGAGGGACAAAGACCTCCCTGTCCATGCCAGCTCCAGCTGAGATGACTGGTAGTGTGACACTTCTAGGGAACAGGAGGCCTGGGACGCCACTATGAGGAAGGCTAGGGGGTCCCACAGGGAGCATGGGAGGGAGCCCTCAAGAAACGCACACTCCCCTCTCCAGGGACAAGGGCCCCCTTCTGCAGGGTGTGGGGGTAGCCACACACTCACTGCTTTCTCTTGAGTCCTAGACTGTTGTTCTAGAGCTTGGAGCCCCTGCAGCTCCTCCCCTGGGCTGGAGACAGGCAGGAGCCACACGTGGCAGCGGCATGTTTATTGTTCTGTCTGACACACTCAGGGGCCAGCCCCACGTGACACGGGGACACAGCACCTGAGGCTCCAGTCCCAACAGGTTCATGTGTGATCAGTACCTGACCTGGGTACTGATCACACACCAGGACACCAGTCCCTGGGCTGTGCAGCAGGGTGACTACCAGCACCCAGCCCTGTGTCCTGACTTCCATGTCCTCCCCTTGGGAAGCGCTCAGTCAAGTAGTGACAAAGGTATGTCTAGGGGAGGCACTGAATTCTGCCCAATGCCACTGTCTCTATGGGGGGCTCTGCTCCTTGACCCCAGGGATCCCATAAGAAGCAGTGGCACCGGAATTGGGGGAAGACACTGACTGGGCACACGTACCCACCCAGTCATTACGATGCTATGGGGTCTTCCTGACACGTGGAGGGCTCTGGTGGGCAGGGCTGCAGGATGCACTTCCTGGGGGTGGGAAGAGGCTGCCTCTGTCCCTGGGTCATGAGATGACTCCCAAGGCCTGGTTGCAGGGTCCCCACACATGGCCTGTACAGCTCTGCGGTCAGCCTGGAGGTGAGGCAGCAGAGTTACCTCTCCAGCACAGGGAGGACAGGGTGGGTCCCTAGGTCAGCTCCCCTTGGCTTCTGCCAATCCCGGGACACCCAGTGGATAACCCTGGGCCAGTTCTGGGCTAGTGGCTGAGGCTTCTCTGCCACCTTCCTCCAGGGGTGCACAGAGACAGTGTCACACACTGCCACCTCAACGGCACCCCAAGTCCTCAGCACCCAGGAGAACCCGTGGCGATGTAGGTTTCATGTTGGCAACAAAGAGCACAGGACAGAGCCAGAGCTCATCGGTGACATGGGTGGGAGCTCCCTCCCCATAACAGGAGCAGCCAGCGATCCCCACTAGGGCCACCCAGGAGTTGCAAGCCCCGCCCCACAGCTGTCTCCAAGCCCAGGCCCAGCAGAGTCCCCTGACCATATAAGGCGGCCTGGCTCCCTGCCTGCACACAGTGCTCCCAGGCATGCTAGCCAGGGGTCTTGGTGGCGAAGGTCAGGTAGCCTGTGTGGCCCACAGTCTCCTTCATGGGCATGCCACTGCGGAAGGGGCTGGCATCCGGGCCACCAGGGGTGCCCTCACTGTCCCCCAGGTCAGGCAGGGGCAGGCTGACGGTGCGCACGTTGTAGACCTGTGGCAGCACCTCCACGGTGCTCAGCTCTGTGAAGCCTTGGGCCGCCAGCGCCTGGCATGTGCGCTGCACCTGCTCGATGCATGGTGAGAAGGAGCAGAAGCGCCCACCTGTGGGGAAGGCACAGGGGTCAGAGGCGCCCAGGGCAGTCTGCGTACCCCAAGCCCTCTGGCCACACAGCTTGAGGGCACAGGACAGGGAGGCTATGTATGGTTCCTACAAGGGCCCTGCCTGCTGGCCTGCCCTGTGCAGGGACCTTCTGGGGCCTGGGAGCCCCAAGCAGGGCCACAGTGCACCAGGCCCACACTGCTTAGCGGCCTCCAGTGGGCACTGCCACCCTGCCTTTTAGCAGGCAGCCAAGGGTGGGGCCAGGGCCCACAGCAATGAAGGCTGGGCCAGGAATAGCTCTAACAATACAGAGCTCTGGGGTGGTGTGTGGGCAGCTGCTGTCACAGGAAATTAGAGGCTGCTGCTGGCTCCCCTGAACAAGAGGCACCTACCATGAGTATAGCCGAGCCCCTCCCATTGCTCCCCCAGCCGCCTCACTCAGCCCAGCTATGCTGGCAAGTCTGGCCAGGTCCTCATCCAGGCAAGGGTGATGGGGGTGCCAAAGCAGAGAAGCTGTGTGCATCCTGGAAAATCTACAAATGTTCCTAGGCCTGGTCCAACATAAGGTTCCCCACAAGCGTACACCATCCAGGCAGAGCATGGGGCCACAGGCAAGTGAACTGCCAGAAAATACCAGGCTCACGAAAGATCAGGAGCCCATGATCCAGGAACACGCAGACCCAGGGGCAGGGCCCAAGGGACAGAGGTGTAGGGGCAAAGCTGAAAGGGCAGAGGGATGAGGATCCAGGGATACAGGCCCAGTAGGGCCTGGGCAGCAGGAGGCTGGGCTCCTCTCTCCTCTCTTGGAGGCACAACTGTTCTGCCTTCACTCCCTGCACTGCAGCCCAGGGAGGCTTGGGGTGTGGCTGCCCAGCTGGCTCTTTCTCCAGAAAAGGTAAAGTCCCTGAAACTCCAGGGCTGCCTTCCTGGCTCCTGGCCGACCTGCCCCAGGCCTCCCCAATGCCCCGCCTCTGCATGCAGCATCTTCCCTAAAAGGGGCCAGCTGCCCAGCTCTGCAGTGTAGTGGGAGGGGAAGCTGCCAGAGGCACTGCCAGGGTGGGGGCTGCTCTGGGACCTCCCACTCAGGCCCAGACACACCCTGAGCTACTGACCCCACCTACACAAGAAACAGGACTGCTGTGCAATCCCCAGGGGCCTCAGGCCTGACCTCCCCAGCCCTGACACCCCAGCCAGCCTCACCTCTCCTTGCCTCAGGCCAGGAGGGGCCTGGCCACTGCTGCAGTGAGAAAGAGGTGCCCAGAGCTCCACCCCACCACCGCATCCCAGGCTATACCCTGCCAGGTGTCCCACACACCTTCAAGCTTGAGGGCATCCCAGGCGTGCCCCACAGCCTCCCAGGGTGACGGGATGTCCAGGAAGACGGCGTCGGCCACGTGGCTCACACCAAAACCGCTGCGGCAAACATCCTGGGTGCGCACAGTCACCCAACGGCCCACGCGGTGCTCCTGAAATTCCTCTCGGGCCTTGTCTGCCCGCTGCTGGTGGAACTCCACTGTGTGTAGATGGCCCGTGGGGGCAATGCTGCGGATGATGGCATGGGACACAGAGCCACTGCCAGTGCCTGGAGGGAGACAGGACAGGGTCCAGGGCTACTCACAGCCCACAGCCCTCCAAGAAACAGCCTCATCCTCATGCAGAAGGGCCTGCAAAGGGTCTAAGAGGCCAGCTGACCCCTGGGTCATGAGTAGGCGTCACCCCATGAGCCACCTGTCTGCTCCCAGTGGCTTTGGCTCTGACACCAAGGCTGGGAGGAAACAGTCTGTGTCTGCTGTGGGCACCGGTTAGGGTACATAGGCCACCACACAGGTGCAGTGGGGCTTGGGCAGGTGAGTCTGACAGAGCCACAATCGTAGTTTGGCCTTGTCCCTGACACCTTCCACACAGCAGCTGACCCCTGTGCTTGGGTCAGCATGTCTCCAAAGCCCCACCCAAATCTGCCGCGGCACACGGAGAAGCTCTGCCTGGCTCTGCTCAACTTCAGCCACGTGGCTGGTAGCTGACTCCTCCAGTGCCACCTCAGTGCCCCACTGTGCCTGCACTCAGCTCCTTCGGTCACCCTCCACTCATCTCTGCACCCTGAAGTGCCCAGCTGGGCCTATCCCCGCTGCAATGCCAGGTGCCATCTACTCGATGAGGACTCTCCCCCACCAGATGCCTCGGAGACACCTGAGACAGCACCTGCACATTCACACTGCCCTCCACACCCCATGGCACTCAGCTCTAGAGTGTTAAGCTGCCCTCCAGCCAGCCCCTAGCTACTTCCCACAAAGGCTTCCTGGACCCAGGCACAACACCTGTTGCTCAGTAGCTGTCATAGAGGGGCCACAGGCACCCCACAATGATCCATGACAAACACTCCTCCCACTCCTGTGTCTGTCCAGGAGCAGACCTCTCGCTGACCGCAGGCCCTATCCACCAGACAACTCACTTCCATCTTGACACAGTCAGCAACGTCCTTTCCACCCTCTGCACAGCCAGCCGAGCTTCCTTACCTAATGGAGGCAGTTAGATTCCAGATTGTCCTCCAACGGTTCCCTATTATCTCTCAACTTCATCTCCTGCTCCTTTGCCCTCACTTGCTGAATTACAGGGCCTTTGCACATCTCTCACTGGCTCTTGGTAGCACCTCCTCACCATGTTGAACTTCTTTGTTTCAACTTCTTAAATGAAGTTCCCTGACTACCAGAGCTCGGCTAGGGGACCTAAGCTGCCCTCAAATACGTAGTGCTGTCTTCCAAGCTCACCCACAATCTACAGCACATGGTGGCCCAAGCTCACTCTCCAATCCCTCCCAAGGGTGAGAATCTGGTACCTCACAGGAGCCCGGAGGGGCGTGGCTGTCTGTGTGGCATGAGGGCATGAGAAAGGCTCAGAACACACCTAGCTCTGAATCTTGCTCCCTACACCCTTGGTCCCTCAGAGAGGCAGGAAGAACCAAAGTCTCAGAAACCAGAAACAGGGGCCTAGGGACTCATGACCCTGCCCCCAGCTCTACTTCCCATGAGGAACGTGACACCACAATTCTAGCCACATGTGGACCCATGGTTATTCTTGGCAGGGATGCATGTCTTGGCCACCACTCCTGGTATGCGTAGAGGTGACAAATGGCTTTCAGGACCTCCTAGCCCAGGCCCTACCTTGGCAACTGTGGCACTCACCTTTGTTGGAGTCAGGTGGGCTACCTTGTGCAAATAAGCCGAGGGCAGGCTCCCAATACAATGAGGAAGCACAGAATTGGAGAGGCAGTCAGCACCTTGGTGAGCACCAAGGTGAGCACCAAGCAACGCTGGCACCGCCCCAAGGCAGGCAGGGCTTAATGGGGGCACCATCTCCTTCTCCACTCCAGGTCCAGTCCACATTTCACTCACAACCCTACCTTGGGGGACCTCCCTAAGTCACTTTCCAATGTGCAGTGCTGTCATACAAGCTTCCCACAATTGACATCACACCCTCACTCTTGGCAATTGGCCTCTGGGGAGGTGCTGAAAAAGTAGAACAGGCATGCTGGCCTGCAGGAGTGGCAGGTGCAGCCCATCTGGATCGTGGGTTTAGCCTCCACCTTCATGTCAGTTTTTCAATACTAAGGTAGCCGAGGGAACTCACCAGATTCGCAAACCACAGAGCCAGGCCGCAGCTCCAGCATCATGGTGAGCAGGGCTATATCGGTGGAGTAGAGGATCTGTGTGCGGTGCGGCAGGTTCAGTGTCCAGAGCTCAGGTGTGGGGTGTAGCACATACACCCAGCCACCTCGGCTGCAGATCACCTTGGAGCCAAAGGGACGGCCAATGAGGTCCACTGAGTGCCGCAGGACGCCATGCCGGGTCTGGGTCTGTGCACCACGCTGCACACGCACTGCCATCATTGCACCATGACCCAGTGACAAGATGGCCGTGTCACCGTCCTTGATCAGCTCTTCATATGCGATAAAACTCATGGTGTTAACGTCTGCCAAGTGTCAGGGACCCTGGAAGTGATGGCCATGAGCAGGTCAGAGGGCCAAGTGGCAGGATGTGGACCTCGGTTCTGGGCAGAAGGCTGTGACTATCAAATTCTGCAGTGGGGCACGGGATGAATGGCTGACTCTGGCCCTACTCTTGCCTGATAGACAATCCACTGGGGCCTGACATTTGAAGCTCTCTTGGTCTGGAACAAGGCAAGGACCAAATAAGAGATGGAGAAACAGGCTCGGCAACAGCACAGGTGGGGCCCAAGGATTTTCACAGACTCTGAAGGAGCTTGGCCCCACTCCCCAGCTGGAAGATGAGAAGGCGACCTTTGAGAAGCGCCCACCAGCGGGAAGGGGCAAACGACCAGTAAGGTCACCTCCAAGACTGGCCTGGCTCCGCGGAACTCTCCCTGGCGGACTGGCGGCAGGGGGTTCGCGAGGGGAAAGGGGTCCCGGGAAGGGGACGGTGTTACGGAGCGCGCCCCA